ATCATGTACATAATCTTTTATCTAATTATCTGCTAAGAAAGAAATATACTTCGTTTGTGCATTATTTGTTGTCTGCGCCGGTCACTTCATTTGTGTATTATTGGTTGTCTGCGCCGGTCACCTGCACAACCTCTTTCATACCACCCTCCGTCACATTTACAGCCGAGGCGGCGCACACTAACGCCATCTACGAGCTGGACTGGTCTCACGACGGTCGACACCTGCTCTCCGCCGCCGGAGACCGCACCGTCAAACTGTGGGACGTTGGAGAGGTGCAGCTGACCCAACTGGCCGTGTTCTCACGTCACTCGCGAACCGTGAAGACTGTCACCTTCCTGCAGGAGGATCCCTGTGAGTGGAGGCGCGGGGTGGGGGGGGGAAGGGGGGGGGAGGTAGGTGGGTAGAGCAGTGTACATATAATAAACTCGATGTGATAGTCGTAGTTAATTTGTGGCTGGATATGGCAGGATAAGGAATAATACCATGCTCTTTGGCAATAATCGATCTGAATGAATGCTGGTGACTTCGTTTCTATGACAAGTCATTAGATATTTGCCATCTGAAGCACTGAATACAAAGAACGATGACTTGGTATCTATCAGTCTGACGTCTGCTCTGCCGTTTCAGGTGTGTTTGCCTCGGGAGGCCGGGACGGTGCTATCGTTGTCTGGGATGTGCGGGTCACCAAACAGGTCAGCCACGAGATCCGGCCGAAAAGGCTCGACCCAGGTGAGCACCTTCAGCACCCTGACTCGTCACCGTGTGTGGCGTCAGGTTCAGCATAATCTTAACTCTTGCTCTAATGATGACATGTCTCTCTCTAGTGATTATGTCATATTGTGCCTCTGATTATGTCTCTAGTGTTTATGACGTTTATGTCATACTCTTAAGTTGTCATCCTTTCTACAGTCCATTGCCCCGAAGCCATGAGATATTTGAAGACGCACTAAAGGTGTAAGAAGTGAGAATTCAGCCTGCACGATCCATTGTCAGTCTTTACTGTCCAGTGTCTCCGTCATCAGTGCTCTGACGGTGCTGTTCCACTGCAGACTCTCGTTTGCGCGGCGCGTCTGCGGCTCGCCCCGCGGAGTCTACCGACACTATTAGTTCACTGGCGTTCCGGGACGGCACTTACCTCCTGTCGGCGGCCAGCGGGGCCAGGTACGTGGCAGAGTCCTGCTGGGGGCGGGTCACAGGCAGGTCACTGGCACACTTGCTGCAAAGTAGGTCACTGGGTGGGTTACTAGTTTCTTAGGTTTATTTTCTTTCTGGGTCTGATGACTTGGTCCTGTGAAGGAGCTGCTAATTCATGTTACTGTTTTGTTTTTTTCTGATTCCTAGAATGGGTTGCAGCTGAGGTCTGAGCACGGTAGGTCATCAGGAAATATCAGTGGGCAAGGGGCACTACACCTCATCTCTTCAGGACGTCTATGGTCGTTTTGTTGGTCAGGTTACTAGGGTCATAGGTCTAGCTTACTAGATGTGTCAATTTTTTTATCGAATGGCAATATTTTCCCGCTCTGTTGGCTCAATCTGACCTCCCCCTCTCTCTCCCTTCCCCCCGTCTTTCTCCCCTCCTTTCTCAGCGCTGTGAGCGTATGGGACCTGCGGAAACTCTACTCGATAGCACAGCGTCAGTCGCCACCCGTCTACCGCCTGGATGGAGCTGAGCCCGGCCGCGGCGTGGTTTCCATGACAACCGACCGAGAGCAGGGCCAGCTGTACGTCAGCCGCATCAATGACGTCATCCAGCGATACAGTATGACCAGCTGGACGGCTGACCCCGGTGAGCGGAGGGGCCAAGGGACAGTCCAGGGGTCAGGTTTTTTCGGGGGGGGGGGGGAGGATGGCACGGTTGGGTTCTGGCACTGCTTTTGGGTGGCAGGCTCTTGCTATAACATTTTATGTATGTAATTAAGCTTTAATATTTGCGTGTGCTCAGTGTGCATTTAATAGTGGAGAGTCACACAGATGTGTAGCGGATTACCTACCTTATTTTCTGTTTTATGGAGTTTATGTGTTATTTCTTGATAAACCGAAGCATTGGCTTTCCTCGTTTGATTTTGAAGATATCGTTGCAACCAGTAGCGTTTTGGCAAATCCCTTTGCTCTCCTGATCTCTTGAACACCTGACCGCTGACACCCTTCTTCTGACGCCTGCCTTCTAGTATCTTCACTAAAACATCACTAACCCGTAACTTACTGACGGCTCCCCTGTCTCCGGCAGCGGGCACCTTTACGGGGGCGCAGTGCGGCTCGTTTTTCGTGCGCTGCTCCGTGTCGCCGAACGGCGGCTGGCTGGCGGCCGGCGGCTCGGACCACTCGGCTCGACTGTGGTCCACGCGGACAGCGGGGCCGCCCGTCGGCAGACTCGGCGGTCACACAGACGAGGTCACCTGCGTGGCCTGGAGCTCCGACTCCAACACGGTGAGAACTGGGAGGGGAGGGGAAGAGAGGAGAAGGGCGGAGAGGAATGGAAGTAAAGTTTAAGAACTGAAGAGTAAAGAGAAGGGACGTCAGTGATGTGAAGTGGTCGGAGAGAAAAGGAAATTAAATGTAACAAGAGGAGCGGAAAAGGAGAGGTTGGGAATTAAACGAAAGGAAAGGAAGGGAGTGTAGATGAGAAAAGAGGAGAAGAGAGCAAGGAAGTACTTAGGAGGAAAGACTGATCGTATTAAAAGGAGGAGAGAGGAAGGGAATATCTTTCAATAAAAACACATGAGGGAAGAGAAAACGGATGCATTGGATATAAAATGAAAGGGAGAAGGGAGTCGACTGGAAAGTAAGGGGAGGTAGTAGGTGAGGCCGGGGGAGAGGGGTGTAGACTGTACAGTGTCACGGGCTCAGTTGGTGTCGGGTTTGTCGCCAGTTTTATAAGGCGTTCAAATTGTGAGACGTCATATGCATACGCATTTGTATGATTTTATAGAGTCGCTGGCAATGGTGGTGATTTTGTGTAGTTAACTTTCATCACTGTTACCGTGTGGTTTGAATAATTTCCACTGCGTCAGGTATTGTTCTAGGGACTACAGGTGTATCTATAAGCCCAGTTTCGTTCTCGGTCTCCGAATAACATCCACTGTACCCGGTTTCAGCTGGCGACAGTGTCTGACGACCAGCACCTGCGCCTGTGGCGCACCGACCCCTGTCCTGGAGACACTGACACGAGGGAGGACACATCCGTCCTCACCATGGAGCGCCTGGAGCCGCCCGCGTGTAGCGAGTGCGGCAGCTGCGGTCCCTCGCCCGGGGCGACTTCACCGCTGCCGCTGTACCCCCTCTGCCGCGAGACGGGCATACGGTGGCGACCGGCGCCGCTCCGAGTGTTGTACGGGTCGCCCGGCGCCGCCGCCTCGGTCCGGCAGGGTGGGAGGAGGACTCAGGCCTCCTCCGCCGCCGCGAGGTCGTCGGTCCTCTCCAGCTGGGTGTCAGCTCAGAAGGAGACACCTGAACCGACAGCCACGAGAACCTCTCCGAGAAAACGCCAGGTGGAAGAGGAAGGAACAGAGGACAGGCCGAGCAGCAGAGGGCATTTGTCGCTGGCATTGAGCCCGTCCAAGATGTGCTTTTCTCCGGGAAGTACGTCCAGGAGTGGTCAGTCGACGCCTGTTAAAAGTCCGTTCAAGAGATTCGCGGTGACGCTGAGTCCCTCCAAAGCGGGCACCTCCACCGCGGGAGCGGTCTCGCCCACTGGGACCAGTCCCGGCTGCTCGAGCTGGAGTCCCACTCGACGCTCTCTGAGACTGTCGCCTTCCAAGAGTGGCCGAGCGGGCACACCGACAGAGAGTCTGGGAGCCTCCTCGACGGCCGGCTCCCCTAGACGCTCCGTGCTTGGGGACGTGAATGACGAGCGCGTGGTGACCCCGACCCCTGCGGCGCTGCGCTGGTCGCCCTCGAAGGCAGCCGTCACTCCCTCTCCAGACCCTGCCGGGAGTCTGTCCCGGTCCCCTCACACGCCAGCCCGCCGCTCGCCGCGGAAGACGCCGGCCAAGGTTCTGTTCTCGGGCAGTCCGGCGGCTCGCGGCGCCGCCTGCCTCACCCCGGAGACGGGCCGACGGCGGCCGGCCGACCAGTACCGATCTCCGACGGCCGACCTGCCGAATTTCGTGGTGGATGGTCGCTCGCCGCACCGTCCTCTGCCTTCGCGGCCCCGCCGAGAGCCGCAGCCCGACTGGCTCACCTGTCTGTCGCAGAGGAAACGGGCGCAGCAGAGCCCCGCCGCGGCGCCTCCGGCCGCCAAACGCAGTCGTCGGCCGACCAGGGGAAGGAAACAGACGCCCGGGTGAGTGTACCGAACAGGTGCGTGCGTGTGTGCGTGTGTGTGTGAGTGCGTGCGGGGGTGGGTGCGGGGGTGGGTAGGTGGGTATATGTGTATAATTTGTTGGCGGAATTTGGAGTGGTATGATCGAGATTGCGACCGATGGTGGACCCGAAAAAAGAAAATGTTCAGCCTAGTTTTGCTGCTGGCTTTAGGAACACTTTCCTGTAGTTTTCGGGTATTTGGCTTACTCTGCGAAGTTCAGAACCGTAGAACTCTTCAAGCTGTTGAGCCTTCCAACGTTTGTAGTATTCGTTGCTAATGGTTATAAATCTGAATGATAGGTGCGTCAGGTTTTTTTTTTGTAAGGTTGGCTCTGTCGCAGTATTACATTTTGATTGGGTGGTATTGTCTGCTCTGCCAGGAACATCGACAATATTCGGACTGTTTTTAACCGTGAATGTGTAGCCTTTAAGGGGCTGGCTGTGTATGCATTTGTAAGCATTTACATTTTAATAAATACTGATGAGATTTGAACATCAATGCAGGTTGTGTTATAAATAGCTTTGTGAGCCAATTTCGAATGGTTGTAGCTTTTCCCTCTATGACATATACCCAAAGAGCTTTGATAACGGAGTTGGGGTGGATGGAGTTATAACCATCTTCCCCTTAAAATAGCAGAGCAAATGTGCGTCAAAATATACAGATCTAACGAAAGTATGACACAGAGAAAGACGGGGGCTTAAATAATGTTTGCATGTATTACTCGATATAGATGACATTTCGGCATTAGCTTTCTGGACGCTTCGATAGCACGATGGGAGCATCAGGCAGCCCCGACAATGCACAGACACACTGACAGTTACGATATATAACTTACCCTCTTCCCTTCCCTCATCGTACATAGCTGCAACTCAGGCTCTCAACGAACACGTGTTTGACGCGTTTACAGCCGAGCAAGTCCGCGCGTTACGTGCTGCTGTTCAAAAGGCACAACTGTGGTCCAGGCGGCAGACGTACTATCACATCACTAACGCATACAGGTGACAACAAAGACGACCCAAGAACGGCGCTCTTGCAGCCCTGTCCCAGACTCCCAGCAGGGTCACGGAATTGCTACAATCCGTGCTGAATGAATGAGGCTTACGGGGACCGCGGACGCCTCCCGCTATTGGAGAAGCCATAACATCAGGCTTGCTCGATAGAAACACTCCTGGCACCGGCGGCGGCGATGGGCTGGAGCTGAATCTCACCAGCCTCCGCTTCGCCCGCGACCCCGCCGGCGCCGGGCCCCCGTCCAGTCCACCCCGTCCCACCCGACCCGTCACTGACAGCCGCACTCCTCTGCCACCATGTCCATGTACTTCTTTAGCACCACCATGTTGTCATCAGGCAGGAAGAGCACGTGCAGACTGCTGAGCGCGCTGGGCACGCAGGAGGGCCTCTGTACCATCTGCTCGGCGCCTCCCAGGCCCATGTGCTCCACCAGACTCTGCACTGTAGCGTGATTGGTGGGCCGCTGCTCCTGCGTCAGCGGAAACTCGCACCTCCCCAGGCAGTGGTAGGCGTCGTAGCCGCTGGGCGCCACCACGAACGAAGACCAGCCGATCTCCTGGAAGTCGATGTAGAGCTCGCGGCGCTGACAGCCGGAGGGGATCTCGGTGAGGTCGGCGTCTCTCCGCCGCCGGCCGGTGGATGCAGAGCGGGCGTGACGCACCAGCTCCTCTGTCGGGAGAGAGGGGGAGGAGTCAGTGGGACTAACGACACGGTACGGGGTGGCACGGAACGGTACGTAGTCGTACCGGTAAAGATGACAGACCTGAAGTGAGACGACAGACGGAAGCGCATAACGTAGTTGTACTAAGTACCCATGTATGCAAGCACACAAGAATGGCGAACATGCAAAGGGCTGCATTGCAATTGAATGTGCCTGTCCAATACCATATGATAGGTAATCGGTTGATTGTACGACTGATCGTATCTGGCTGCTGGACATGCGCTGTCCCGACTGAACCAAATCAGCAGTTGTAGACGAAGAAGCGTAGACACTACGTGACTACTGCGAGACATAACCCTCCTACACGTCAAAAACACGAGCCCATGACATGCAATACATGTTGTATAACCAGGTGTGGTACAGAAAACAAGTGCGATTTTCTCCAAGATGTCAGGCCTTTGTACGCTGTCGGCTTTCCTTTCGTGTCTTGTCATCGCTTGTCCAGCTACCGTGGACAATAGGTCTCCGATTTGGGGAGGTCGGGGTCTCCCCAGACAGGCGCGGCGCCCACTCGGCCTGTCCATTCATCGCCCGGTGGTGTAAGGGAGTGGCGCCGTGTCAATTAACCGATGACAATATAGAGGGAGAGTCATTGCCGGTGACTCGCTGACCGTTTGCTGTTTGATGGTGAAGTTGAGGCTCATGTCTTTGTGAGAGCCTGGTGATGTTGATCCGTGCCCGCCGACCACTTACCGTTCAGAGTCTGGTGGTGTGCCGTGCGGTTGTCCACTCATCGTTGATAGTTTGGTGGCGGAGATCCGTGCCCGTTTAGTACTCACCGTTCAGAGTCTGGTGGTGCTGACCTGTAGGCATGTTCCCACTGTCCACTCACCGTTAAGAATCTCCCCGCTGATCACTCACTGTTCAGAGTCTGGCGGTGCGCCGTGCAGTTGTCCACTCATCGTTCAAGGTCTGGTGCTGCCCCGCGAGGCTATCACTCACCGTTCAGGATCTGGTGGTGCGCCGTGCGGTTGTTACTCACCGTTGAGAGTCTGGTGGTGGGCCGTGCAGTTGTCTACTCACCGTTTAGTCTGGTGGTGCGCCGTGCGGTTGTCACTCACCGTTGAGAGTCTGGTGGTGCTGGGCCGTACCCGCTCACTTGACTCACCGTTCAGAGTCTGGTGGTGCGCCGTGCGGTTGTCGCGGCTGTAGAGCACCAGCAGCGGCTGCCGGTTGTGGTGGTGGCCGCGCCGCGACACGTTCAGCCTCTGCCACCAACCGTCGGCCGTCTCCTCAGTCAGACTCAGCGCCAGCGGCCGTCTGTCCGCCGTCCCCTGCCCCGTCACCGCCGGCCGCACTCGCAGCACGGCCCAGCCGGCGGCGCCGGGAAGCAGCGCCGTGTCCAGCGTCCGGCCGCCACCCGCCGACACACGCACACGGCGCACGGGCGCCGCGTGTGACACGTGCGACACGTACACGTGCAGCTCGGCCTCCAGGAGATCCTCCGCCGGAAACGGCGCCACGTCGAACTGCAGAAAGTCGGCCGAGATGGGCTCTGGAATCAGATAGATGGGAGCGACATTAGATAACGTCCACATCTATCACAGCTCTATACCACGGCATATGCAGTTTACAGATTCGAACAGCGTTGATTATTTTTTAAGAATAACAATTTTGCAACTGGCGTACCGGAGACGAGTTTCTTTGGAACGATCCCGTTTCAATTCCTAACATTGTGTGTGAAATTTATAATAACTTTAATAACTATTATAATAATTTAGTTATGACACTAAAAACAGCGACTTGCAGCAGGCCTTACGTTCCACTCATCTGCTTCCGTTCCCTTGCTCGTGAACCGGTGAGCAAACGTCTGGCGGAGCGTTTACGCCAAGTTATCTCATTCTCACTTGTTTCCCTCAAACTGCTCACCATATAGGTATGTACAAATGTGATCAGTATCTAACTTGCAATCCTCACCTGCCTCTCTGAGACTGCGCACCACGTTGGCGTCATAGGGCGTCGGCCCCCTCCACCGTCCTCGGCCGTCGGCCACGCTGTTATAAAGGTCAACCATGAGCGCCGGAGGCGGCGGCGGCCGCCGGTGGCTGAACTCGACCTCTTCAGGGAAGCCCAGAGCCTGGGGAAAAATAGGGTATGGGTGTCACACGAATAACACAAATAAGCAGTGGTATATGGATAAAGCTGCGAAGTTTGATCTTAGAAGATAGGTGTTATGTTCACTATGTGAATAATTTGTTGTGCCGATGTATCTTACTTCAATAAGGGAGTTAGTGTTCCGTTTTTCATGCCATACAGTCTCATCAACACATTTTTGCCCTTCATTAATTACCTTGTTTTAATACAGCTCCTACCTTGCTTTGTTAATAAACGGTGCTGTCCTTACGCTCTTAGCTGTAGGTAGTTTTCAGCAATTTGTAAGCTGTAACAGCTGTAATAGTGCTTTAGACATGACTGGCGGTGGGCAGGCACCGCTGTCGACCGCCGCCATCGCTGTTCACTTGAAGAACCCATTTGTCGGAAACCCCGAAAGCAGCTGGGCAGTCCACGTAGATCCATTTACGGCAATAAAATACATGTCGCCAAACCGCAAAGCGTGCCTTGTGGCTGGTTTGATAACTGGACAAAGCGTAAAAATGTCAGGACAACAAATCACTCTGACCGACTCACTCGTGTCGTCCTTATCGACATGTGTGACAAGAGCCGATGCATCTATCAAAATTGTCTGAACCGAGTCCGCTGTTTGGCTGTCGGGAAAGCCCTCGTGGGTTTTAATTAGTGGAATTCAGTCCGACGCAAAGTTAGTCGAAATTGCACTTCGTAAATGCATTGATGATTTATGGGAACAAAATAGGATCTGTAAAAGGACTGTCATGGAAAGTTTAATGCAAGCATGACATATCACTCCCATTGACAATTGAAAGGTAGGGGTTGTCCCATGGTCTACCTTCACAAACGAGGAGATGTTCGTATGAGTTGGTGGTAGGTGTGCAGTCAGAGTCCAAAACCAAGACGTTGGCGTTCTGTGCTTTTTTCAATCTTCACGCAATAATATGCTAGGCGTAAAACGGCTGGCGCTGACGCATCAAAATATATCAATTTAACAATCAGATTAGGTATTTGAAATCAACATGTTCCCACCCATGTCAGAAATTGTATCCGTTCAACCAAATTTAGACCAATCCGCTAACTACCTAACCAATAGGCCTTTTCTGTCCTCGAACAAATGAATGCTTGGCTTGATGTATTAGGATAAACCCTTTATTGAACCACTTCAGAAACATACGAACAAAGTATAAAAAAAAATGATCTGGCTCGACCACCGGCTTGTTCGCCGTTGGGACTGAGCCCGTCCGGTAGGTTAGACAATTATGTCTAATAGATATTCTCGGCTGCAGTGAGACAGGTCATCCGGCCACTCAAATGGTCCCCCTGGAGGGACATGTTCATATTGAAATCGGCCTCCCTAGGCTGCCTTGGTGGAGCGACCGTCAGCCCCGGGAACCGGAAATAGTTCACAACTAAGAGGATAAGCTGGTTGGTCCTGAGGATAAAATATGTAGTGAATGAGCATGCTTATGTGCTTGATTGCTAAAATAATACCTGACAGATGCGTATTGTCCAGCGAAAACGCTGAGCGGCATCGCACGCATCGCAACGTCAACTACTATTGATGACAGTGACCGATTAGCCGATTAAATTTATCATGAAATGGTAATTAAATGAAACGTATCATCATTGAAGAATTTATAAAATTAGGACTTTGTTTGAGCAATGAAGAGGCACAGCCGCAGTCACAGAGCCTCAATATTTCTCACAAAGAATGAAGGGTTTCTGAAATTCCAAGAGTCCAATCGATCGATAAGTCACTTAAATGAGCCAGCTGAAAGAAATGAGACGAGATGACGAGATATGAAAAAAATATGTCTTAGCGTTGGTTTTTGTGTTCAGACATATTTTGACATCCTCAAATGAGTTTTCTTTTGTAGTAAAGGCCGACATATTCTTCCCAATGTAGAAAGCAGCGTCACAACATAATGTATCGCAAAGCCTCGCCATCGACCTCATGGTGACACTGATCACGTACGTATTTGTCCACTTGTCAGCATAAACACCAGCGTAATTGCAGCACACTAGCTTGCCTCGTTCTCTGGCGCCACTCTCGGTCTCACCTGTGCCAGTCTTCTAACGTCTGCCGAGGCCGGGTGTGCTGTGTGCCGAGGAGGCGCTGTGAGAGCTCCTGTCACCCAGCACGCTGACAGCACGAGCCGCCACATCACCACCGTGCGAGACGCGTCCATCGCTGCTCGAGTCGTCGCCGACACTGGTGGGTCGACGAGCCGCCGGTGACATCGCGACCGACCGCCCCCGCCCCCGCCCCCGCCCCGCCCCCGCCGGGACACGGCCGACACACCGATCTCGACCAATCAGCTGTCAAGGGGATGGTCATAGGTCAGGGTAGGCGGTGCTAGAAAACGACGGCCGCTTGAAAATATCGGTCACAAAATATTCATAACATGTTACTTTGAACTGCCTTACCGAGGAATGTCCCACCAGTTATTCCTATTTGATGGCTGCATTTTTTCAATGTTTTTCAAAGCCTTTATTCCAGCATCGCATTTTTAGGAAGGGATCAAGCTATTGTGTTCACTTCTCTCGACTCGGTTTTATTTTATCCAAAATGATAACGGAAAATTGCATTCCAGATCATCGCGTTCATCTTCAATGATCCATCGAATGCTGTGTATTCTCTGTCAAACATGGATTGAGATTATGAAAAAAAAAAATTGTAATATTTTTTTTCGGTCGAGGAATTCACTTCCAGTGAGGGCGTTTTTGCGGGCATTTTTTCTCTTCCGCTTTGCTCTTTGTGGTGGAACTTGTGCCACCAGACATGGCCCCCTGCATTCCCACATAATATATCAGTTCTATGAACGCTATTGTTTCAAGATGATTCTTAACATTGCCTGAACGTATCTTTTAGCATGGCATAGAGTGTATGATAAAAGATATAGGTACGGATGCGCGGTATGTAATCTTTATCACGTATAATACTTTTCCCGTGCCCGGGTGTGGGTCTCAGCCAATTTCGCCATATTGGGAAATCATTTTGCCCACTCCCGATTATCTATAAAGAGATGAACTAAGAAAGCCAGAAAGAAGCGGAAAAACAATCAATAGCTCTCTATAAGTTCCATCTGAAGGAAAGAGATAATTTTCCGCTAAATCCAACGGTGAGGCTAGTGGAGGCCATCAAAGGTAACAGCCTCCCGCAAAGTGTCCCGATTTTGACAATTTGTCATTGATTGGCGATTTCCTAGTCGAGACGCGTTAAATGAGTTATACTTTGACCATAAAAAGTCTGTTTGAAAACTTGACCGGTCAAATCAAGGTAAGTACCTGACCAAAGAGGTCATGCTGGCTGCTGCATACTAGTAGATTTGTATTGTTGCGATGAACATATTTCAGGTGCTTTCACCGTTCTACCATGTCTCTATGAAAAGCTTTTGTGGAAAAGCCGCTAATAGTAATGACCTGCTGTGGCCGAACATGACCATTCGAGTGACCGCTGGTCATTTCATGCACCCTCTCCATTGCATATGAGTAGATACGTCATGATTTTGAGAATATCTTGCAATTTTGACGTGTTTGGTCAAAGCAGGAGCCATATGCTGGTCGCGTAGCTCAGGCGGTAGAGCGTTGGACTCACGTCCCGTGAGAGCATGCGTCCCGGTTAAAACAGTCCGGGTTCGAAGCACGACGGGCGCTTGACGGTTATGGGCCTCCTGACAAGTATGGTTGCGGTTGGTGACAGGCCGTTGCAAGGCGAAGTTAGTGAGGCGACCGGCCGTGCGCGGCTATGTGCGTATGCTAAATTTCGGACTCCGGATTCTGTCATAGACCAGGAATTGCGCGATCGAGGGGTAGAGGGCAGGGCCAACACAACAAGTTCCGCTTAGCGGGGGCTCTGTCCTTGTGAATGCTTCCATTTAAAAGGTTCGGACTAAATTTATGTAAAAAATGTGCCCCCATTGTTTTAAAATGCTAAGGTCACAAATCTGACCTGACCCCAGGTCACAGATATAAAAATCCGAGGAATTCGGGCTGTGAGTACTGATGCTCTTCTGCAGTACACCGCGTTTCAAGCTCCCAGGCAATAGCTTGTAAGAATGGCATAGGAATGATAGAATGGCACTTTTATAGCATGGTTAATTTGAACTGGTGACCTTACCCGAGGTGACCTGGCTCAACATTTTTGTAAACGATTTAAAATTGATGTCACTTCGATAAGCTGACCAAGCTTCGTGGAGCGCAGCGCCGCGGTTTTCCTTACATACGCAACACACCTGGAGAATGTGACCAAAAACGCCCCGCCAGGGCCCAAAGGTTAACCCGCGCCCTGATGGGGGGGGGGCCATTTTGCCCCCCCCCCCTGTGGTTTTTCTTAAATAGCGAGAAAACGGCGGCGCGCAGCGCCGCCAAATTTTGGGTACCTTACCGGGCATCAATTTGACACCTTCACACAAAATTTCAAGTCACAGGTCACCTCAGGTCAGGAGTTATTGAGGTCAAACTGAGGTCATGTTCGAGTAAAAATGAGCAAAAAACATGACATCTTGAAACGCTCACCAATTCTACAGTTAACAAGCAATTTTAAAGTTCTTTATGTGGTTGTGTAGAGGAAAGACGGCGCTACAAAACTGCTATCTCGGATTTTCGAAATTTTTGGATTTTGATCCCCAAAAATAAAAAAATGATTGTTTTTAGAAAAACTCAAAAAATTTCCAATTTTTTTCGAATTTCGAAAAAACCGGAATATATGTGATAGTCCCTGCGCTCTTCCATATACATACCAAATTTTAGATCGATACCTCTTTTTTTTGGCTAAGTTATAGCGGAAAAACTGTTAAAAATTAATGACGTCAAATTTTTGAACTCAATTTTTAGCAATTCTAGACCTCGTAGCGCGAAACGGAGGCCACCGTTGAACTCCCCGTGACGAGCTGCATCGAATCGATACCCATTTTATGCAAAAATATCAACTTTGAAATTTGACCTAATTTGACCTGACCTTGACCTGACCTTGACCTGACCTGGACCAAAACGTGACCTAAGCTGGCCCCAAAGGCTGTCTGACCCACATAATCGCATTTGTCATGTAAAATGGACCATAAAACATGTATCACACGACACTTTCATATTGTGACCCCCCAGTGACCTGACCTTTGTGACCTGACCTGGTATCAGTGACCTCAAATAGCAAAATATGTGTTTGAAGAACATTTCCCCATCGATGATTTTCAATGAAATGCATTTTACACGATTTTACAACGCATTTCTTGAAATGCCTGTAAACGGTGAAAATTCGACCTTTGACCTGACCTGTGACGTCATCGGTTTGACCGAGGTCAATGAAATTGGGTCACAAGGTAGTTCCCCGTTGGGGCTATCCAACACCGTTTACCGCTTGTCGCTATGTTGCGTGGTTCTCGAGATCTGAGGGGGGGGGGGCCAAAATGGCCCCCCCCCCATCAGACCGCGTTGCTCGGCAGACCCCATCTGGGCGCGGGTTAACCCTCGCCGGGCCGGGGGGGGTTGATGCAACCCCCTCCGCGCCTCCAAAATTGGCATACCTTCTGAGGAAACCAGAGGAACTGTTTGAACACCACCCCCCCCCCTCCTGCGGTTTTTCGCAGATATCTCATAAACGGCGGCGCGGAGCGCTGGCACACCCGTTCGTGCATCTTTTCCGCACATGTTGTGAACATTTCAGGCCCAGGTCGCCCTAGGTCAGGTCACCAGGTCACGCCAAGTGACCTCACCTCAGAAAAAAATAAGAATGCTCGTCATAGCTACACCGATTGATTGATTGACTTGAAACATTCAGCGATTGATAAGAACAACATTATCTATAAAATGGTCATCTCGGAATTTTGATATCGGTGACCTAAGGTCAGGTCAATTTTGCGGCCTCTCCATTTATAAGTCAATGGGAGAAAATTGAAAAGCGTCTGTTTTGCACGAACGCTATTCTAGACACTCTCAAACATCGAGATGTAGGTAAGATTGACACACTGAACCGGAAAATGGCAATTGTGACCCCTCGTTATGTCCCCGAGGTCATCTCAGGTCACGAACAGAATCTAACAGTTTTTCGCTAATAACTTCTGATAGAGGCGTGCTAGAGCGCTGAAAACGCCTTAAATGTGTTCGACTCGACGTTGCGGATCGACTGATATGCAACATGACCTTTTCCGGTCAGGTCATGACCTTGACCTGAGGTCAAACTTTCAAGTTGACCTTTCAAGGTCAAATTATAGTTCATTCGACGCGTATCGACGAGAGGAACACGATGCTGGCACAGGTAATGTCATGGCTCTTTTGAGCCAAAAGTTATTGCCGAAAAAAACGCTTTTCGTAAAAACGGCTATTTTGTAAGTTTTTGCCCTATGGAGGCTAAACCGTTGACCTGATGTCAAATCCGAGAGCAATATTAAGAAAGGTATGTAAAAGGGCTATCGAATGCGCTTTTCCGCGGCGCTGTAGCTCTATCGGTTCCCGAGATAGCCGTCGGCAGTTTCCAAAATGTTGAAATAGTCAACATTTTACCTTTGGTGACCTCTGGTGACCTGACGCTTGACCTGACCCAAAAAATGACTGAAGTGTTTTCGTCCTTATTTTGGACGTTCTTTCGATTGCCGCCTACCGCGTGTCGCTACGTGGCTCAGGAGCCAGGTTAGAAGGGGGGTGTTCAGACACACCCCCCCCCCCCGGCCGGCGCGGAATCTCACAGCAAGGTCAATAGGAGAAAATTGAAAGGCGCCTTTTTTGGACGAAAGCCGTTATAAACGCTCTCAAACACTCAAATACAAGTAACTTTGACACACTGAACATGAAAATGGTACCCGAGACCCTTGTTTATGCCCCTGAGGTCATCTTTCGTGTCACAAGTGGTATCTAACCGTTTTTTTTGCGAATAACTTTTGATAGAGGCACGCCAGAGGGATGGAAACGCCTTGGATGTGTTCAGTTTGGCGATACGGATCGACTGATATGCAACATGACCCTTTCTGGTCAGGTCATGACCCTGGCCTGAGGTCAAATTTTCAAGTTGACCTTTCAAGGTCAAATTATAGTTCATCAAATGCGTCTTGACAAGAGGAACACGATGCCGGTAAAAGCAAGCTCGTGCAAGGCTTGAGCCAAAAGTTATTGCAGAAGAGCCGTTTCCAAAAAAATCGTTTTTTGGCAGTTTTTGGCTCCTGCCGGTAAAACCGTTGAGGCTAGGTCAAATATGAGAACAATACTCAGAAAGAACG